CTCCTTTCTCCTCCCCTTCCTCCTTCTCTTCCTCCTTCTCTTCCTCCTTCCCTTCTTCCTTCCCCTCTTCCTTCCTCCACTCCCTGCCTTCCTCCTTCCTCCTTCCCTCTGTCTCTTCCTCCTTCCTCTTCTTCCTCCTTTCTCCTTCTCTTCCTCCTTCCCTTCTTCCTTCCTCCACTGCCTACCTTCCTCCTTCCTCCTTCTCTTCCTTCTTCGCTTCTTCCTTCCTCCACTCCCTGCCTTCTCCTGTCTCTCGAGATTTGTCCTCCGTCATGTTCATCTTCCAAGGACTGTTGAGCGGCGTGTCTCTCTGATTCGTTTCTTTTCTTTTCCATTTCTTGGTACACGCTTTGATTTAAATTTCTTTTTTTTTCGTTTTTTTTCTGTGTTTTTTTTTTCATTTTTTTTCCTTCTCTCTTTTCTCGTTTCGTCTGTTTTTTTTTTGTTTTTGGTGTCTTTTTTTTGTTTTGTTTTTCTTCTCCTGTTTTTTTTTTGGTTTGTTTTTGTTTTTTCGGTTTCTTTGTTTCTAGTTTTTTTTTCCTCTTTCTCTCCCTTCGTTCTTCCATCTTCTGCTCTTTCTTTATTTCTCTCCCTCTCCTACCCTTTCGTATCCTCTCTTTTCATCTCTTTCCCACTCCCTCTTCCTTTCTCACTCCCTCTCTTCTGCTCTTTCTCCCTTTTCCTCTCCCTTTCTCACCCCCTCTTATATACTCTTTCTCCTTTCTTCATCTACCTCTCTCTTTCTCTCCTCCATCCGTTCTTCTCCTTCCTCTTGATCTACATCCCAATCCTTTACACTTCCTCCCTTTTTTCTCTCCTCCATCTATTCCTCTCTCACTCCCTCTCCCTACCTTTCTTTTTATTCCTCTCCCTCTCCATCTCCCTTTCCTTCTCCTTTTCCCTTTCCCTTTCCCTTTCCCTTTCCCTTTCCCTCACCCTCTCGCTCTCTTCCTCTTTCCCTCTTTCCTTCTCTCCCTTTCCCTCTCTCCTCGAGAGAGTCCCTTCAAGAGAGTATTTTGACGTATCCTCTTGATGAATTATTTCGCCTTCTCCCTCTCCCTCTTCCTCCCTCTCTCTCCCTCTTTCCCCCTCTCTGCCTCTCCCTCTTCCCCCCTCTCTGCCTCTCCCTCTTCCCCCCTCTCTGCCTCTTCCTCTTCCCCCCTTTCTCTCTCCCTCTCCTTTCCCCCCCTCTCTCCCTTTCTCTCCCTCTCCCTCTTCCCCCCCTCTCCCCCCTCTCTCCCTCTCCCTCTCCCTCTCCTTTTCCCCCCCTCTCTCCCTCCCTCTCCCCTCTCCCCCTCCCAAGACGTCCCATCAAGAGAGAATTTTGACGTCTCTTCCTGATGAATTATTTCGGCCTCGGAGCCTACTAAGCCAGAGCCGTCGTGTGTGAGGAACAATTGCGCTTGCCGAGGGGCGCTTGTCTCGTCGTTTCTCGGGTTTTCTCGGGTTTTCTCGGGTTTATCAGGATTCTTGGGGTTTCTTGGGAATCTGTTTGGATGTTTTTTTTTATGTTTTGGTTTATTTTGTTGTTTGTTTGTTTGTTTGTTTTATCGCCATCATCATCACCATCATCACTCTTTTGATAAATTGTTATTTTCTTTTTACAATTTCCCGTTAAAACCAAAATTATTGAATTACTCTTCGCTTTGTTGCAACAGCTGTTTGTCATTGCAAGGGTAATGCAATTGGAAAGGATTTTATTTATTTATCTGTCTTGGCGCAGGTTTACAATCATGGCTGATTAAGAATTTAATTATTTCATATTTGGCAGAACCAATTGTTGTTTCGTTTATTTTGTTTACCTTGTTGGGTGTATGTTACTATTTTCTTTCTCTGATGTTGTGTTTTCTCCCTTTATTGTTTTTTTTTTTTTACATCTGTTTGCCTCTCTTTTTCACTTTTTTTTTCTCTTCCTCTCTCTCTTCTCTCTTTGTCCTCTCTCTCTCTCTCTCTCTCTCTCTCTCTCTCTCTCTCTCTCTCTCTCTCTCTCTCTCTCTCTCTCTCTCTCTCTCTCTCTCTCTCTCTCTCTCCCCCTCTTCCTCTCTCTCTCACGTTCTCAGAAGAAAAAAAAAGATGAACAGGGAACCGAGCAAAATATTAAAAAGAAACGAAGAGCAAGATAATGAGAATGGGACATAGCAACGACCGAAGAGCGTGACGTGAAAGATTCCCCCCTCCCCCCTTTTTTATCTGGCTTCTGTAACGCACGCTCCCCCCTCCCTCTCCTCCACCCCCTACCCTGCTCCTCTTTCCCCTTCCCCCCCTCCTTCCACCTCCTACCCTCCTCCTCTCCCCCTAATCTGCTCCTCTCTCTCCCTCCAACTCCTCCCCCCTCCCCCCTCCCCCTCCCCCCTTCCCCCTCCATGTGTCGAAGAGGATACCAGTTATTCTCTTTTTCTTTCCTCTTACCTTCTTCCTTTCCCCTCACTTACCTTTCCCTTACCCTTCTTGTTCCCTCTCGTTCTCTTTCCCTTCCCAACCTCTTTCTTTCCACCCCCCCTCTTGGTGTTATTTATTTTCCTCTTAGTCCTCTTCCTTCCCTCTTTATCTCTCCTTCCCTCTTCAGTGATGCCACTTAATAATGGTAGGATTCTCTCCCTATTCTTTCTCTACCTCTCTCCTTTCCTTCCCCTCTCCCCTCTATTCCTCCGTCCTTCCTTCCCTCCATCCCTCCTTTCCTCTCCCCCTCTATCCCTCCATCCCTGCTCCCTCTATCCCTTCCTCCATCCTCCCTCCCTCCTCTTTCCTCCCTCCATCCTCCCCCCCTCCCTCCCTCCCTCCCTCCCTCCTCCTCTCCTTCCCTCCTTCCTTTCCTCCATCCTCCCTCCCTTCCTTCCTTCCTCCCTCCCTTCCTCCCTCCCTCCCTTCCTCCCTCCCTCCCCCCTTCCCCCTCCTCTCCTTCCCTTCCTCCCTCATTCCCTTCCCCCCTCCTCTCCTTCCCTCCTTCCCTCCCTCCCTCCCTCCCCCCCCCTTCCTTCCCTCCTCTTCCTCTCTCCTTCTCTCCTTCCCTCTCCCCCTCTATCTCTCTCCTCCCTCCCACAGTGGTGCCAAGTCTCACTCACGCTGTAACTCTTCATCACCGGCAGTATTACCAACTGATGGCAGCCGAGCGTCCGAGATTGGGGGAGATGGCTCTGTAACGTGATGGGGGGGAGGGGGGGAGAGGGAGCGAAGAGAGAAAGAGGGAAGAGAGAGAGAGAGAAGGGGAACGGAGAATGAAAGAGGAGAGAGAAGGAAAGACAAGAGGTGATGAGAGGGAAGAGAGAGAGAGAGGTCGGGTAGATAAAGAGAAAGGTGAGAGAGAGAGAGAGAGAGGAGAGAGGAGAGAGGAGAGAGGAGAGAGAGATGAGAGATGGGAGAGAGAGAAATGGAAGAACGAGAGAAAAAGAGAGAGGGAAGAGAGAGAAAGAGAAAGAGAGGGGAAGAGAGAATAAGGCAGGTAGTTCATTATCAAATTAAGAAAGAAAGAAAGAAAGAAAGAATCGAGAAATGGCCAGAACACAAAAGGCTAAAGGATAAAAAATGAATGAAAAAGAGATAAATTCAGAAGTTCAAAAGAAATCTGAAAAAAAAAGTTTCAAAAAGACAATGACCATAAAAAAGAAGTGAAGAAATGATGATAAAATAAAGGGGAAGAAGAGAAAAGAGAGAGAAAAAAATCATGAAAATGAAGATAATCATGAATATAAAAGCGAAACCGTAATACGCAGGTAATTATCATAAACGAAAAAAATCAGTGACACGGTAGAGAAAATAGAAACAAAGGAATAAAGACAGAACAGAAGACACGCTCGAGGAAAATGGGAAGTGGAAGAAGGCACGAAAGAGTAGGAGGCGGAATCCGACAAGAATTTATTTGTTTTTGTTTTCGAGAAAGGGAACAGGTGAGAGAGAGAAGGGGAGGGGGAGGGAGAGGGAGAAGGAGAGGGGAAGAGGGAGAAGGAGAAAGGGAGAGGGAGAGGGAGAGGGGAAGAGGGAGAAGGAGAGAGGGAGAGGGAGAGGGAGAAGGAGAGGGGAAGAGGGAGAGGGAGAAGGAGAGAGGGAGAGGGAGAGGGAGAAGGAGAGGGGAAGAGGGAGAGGGAGAAGGAGAGAGGGAGAGGGAGAAGGAGAGGGGAAGAGGGAGAGGGAGAAGGAGAGGGGAAGAGGGAGAGGGAGAAGGAGAGGGGAAGAGGGAGAAGGAGAGGGGAAGAGGGAGAGGGAGAAGGAGAGAGGGAGAGGGAGAGGGAGAAGGAGAGGGGAAGAGGGAGAGGGAGAAGGAGAGAGGGAGAGGGAGAGGGAGAAGGAGAGGGGAAGAGGGAGAGGGAGAAGGAGAGAGGGAGAGGGAGAAGGAGAGGGGAAGAGGGAGAGGGAGAAGGAGAGGGGAAGAGGGAGAGGGAGAAGGAGAGGGGAAGAGGGAGAAGGAGAGGGGAAGAGGGAGAAAGGGAAAGGGAATATGGTGAGGGAGAGAAGGAGAGGGGGAGAGGGGAAGGAATATGGAGGGGGAGAGAAGGGGAGGGGGAGGGGGAGGAAGAGGGAGAAGGAGAGAGGGAGAGGGAGAAGGAGAGGGGAAGAGGAAGAAGGAGAGGGGAAGAGGAAGAAGGAGAGGGAAGAGGGAGAGGGAGAAGGAGAGGGGAAGGAATATGGAAGAGGAGAGAAGGGGAGAAGACAAGAGGGAGAAAGAGAAGAGGAATATGGAAAGGAAGAGTAGGAAAAGGGAGGGGGGGGGGGTTACGGAACTAAAAAGGGGGAAGATAAAAGGGAAGGAGATGGGAGCGGGGAGGATGAGGGGGAAAGAGAGAGGAGAGAGGGAGAGGGAAAAAGGAGGGAGAAGATGATGAGGAAGGAGGTTGACGGGGGGGGGGATGAGGGAGAGGGATATTGTGGGGGGAAAGGATGAGGGGGATAGAGAGGGGCGAGAGGGAGAGGGAAAGGGAAAGGAGGAAGAGAGAGAGAGAGAGAGAGAGAGAGAGGGAGAGAGACAGACAGGCAGAGAGAGAGAGAGAGAGAGAGAGAGAGAGAGAGAGAGAGAGAGGAGAGAGAGAGAGAGACGAGAGAGAGAGAGAGAGAGAGAGAGAGAGGAAGGAGAGAAAATGAGAGATGAAGATGAGTGAGTAGGATTGAGAAAAGAAGAGGAAGAAAGAAAGAAAAAAAGAAAGAAAGAAAGAAAAAAAAACCTAGCTAGCAAGAGAATGAAAAGGCCATATTGCAACAAAATAGTGGGGGGGGGGGGATGATGAAAGGCTGATAATGATGATTGCTCGGGGAAATAAGTGATCAGTCAGTTGCTTAATGAGATGGAAATCATCAACATAGTTCAGCCATTTTTTCCCCCCGACTTCCTTTGGGGAAATTAAGAAAAAAGGGGAAAAAAATGGGAAATTACTTTGTTCGTGTTGCAAAGGCGATTTCGCAACATTTTGATTGGGGAAAGGGGGAACTTTTTTCCAGGAAATTTGCTCTTTCATTTCGTAGTCTGTTGCAATTAATAAGTCGGACATGCAAGGATACATGTGTGCGTTTATGTACGTGTGCGTATGATCTGCATACATGAACACCGATATCTATGTAAGTATCTGTTTATTAGCATCCACAAGCACTCAGACATACAAACAACAAAGACACGCACACACACACACACACACACACACACACACACACACACACACACACACACACACACACACACACACACACACACACACACCTCCCCCCCCCCCCCACCCCCCATCACCCACATCCTCACTTTGCTCTCAAACTCCCTCCAAATTTGCATGATATTCTTTTTTTTTTTTATTCTCCTCCTCCTCCTCCTCCTCCTCCTCCTCCTCCTCCTCCTCCTCCTCTTCCTCCTCCTCTCTTCCTCTCTCTCTAACTTTCGCATAGAAAATGGGCGAATTTCTTCACAAACTTACAAACTCAAGAATCACAAGACAATGCGAGTGAATAATAAGTTCTGATCCGAAAGAGGCCCAGGGAATGGACGAAGTTTTATGGAATGGAGAGATAGTGAAGGGAGAAGAAAGGGAGAATAGGGGAGATAGAGAGGGGAAAAGAAAGGGTGGATAGGGAAAAGAAAGGGAGACAGAGAGGGGGAAAGGGGGAGATAGTGAGGGGTGAAGAAGGGGAGAATAGGGAAAAGAAAGGGAGATAAAGGAGATAGAAAGGGGAAAGGGGAAAAGAAAGGGAGATAAAGAAGATAGAAAGGGGAAAGGGGGGAAGAAAGGGAGATGAAGGAGATAGGGGAATAGAAAGGGAGAATAGGGGAGATAGAGAGGGGAAAAGAAGGGGTGAATAGGGGAGATAAAGGAGATAGAGAGGGGTAAAGAAGGGGAGAATAGGGGAAGATAGGGAAATAGGGGGAGATAGAGAGGGGAGAAGTGCGAGATAAAGGAAAAGAAGGGGAGAAAAGGGAGAGATAGAGAAGGAAAAGGGGAGAATAGAGGAAAGTAAATGGAAAGATGGGGGAGATAGGGAAAATAAGGAGAGATAGAGAGGAGAAGAGAAAGGGAGAAGATGAGAAGGGGGGAAAGAGAACATAAAAAATCAGAAAGGGAAGAAAGGGGAAAGATGGGAAAGGAAGGAAAAAAAGGGGAAGGGGAAGAGAAGAGGAGAAAAGGAAATTAGAAGATGGCAAGGAAGAGAAGAGATGAGGAGGAAAGAAGGAAAGTGAAAAGAGTAATAAAGAATGCATGAGAAAAGGGGGAAGAATAAGAGGAAGAAAGAAACAGAGATAGAGATATAGTTATAGTTTCCCCTCCCCTTGTTCTTTTCCTTTATTCTCTTCTCTCTTATAGGCACCCCTTTCTATTTTCTTTCTTTTTTTACATTTCTCCGTGTATTTGTTAGAGACCTTTGAGGGAGAAAGAATCTTGTTTGCGTTTCGACCGATGTTTGTGTTTTGTTAGCGAGGCCGGATGGGGGGAGGGGGGAGGGGGGAATGGGAGGAGGGGTGATGGGGTATGAAGGCAGAGAGAGAGAGAGAGAGAGAGAGAGAGAGAGAGAGAGAGAGAGAGAGAGAGAGAGAGAGAGAGAGAGAGAGAGAGAGAGAGAGGAGAGATGAAAGAGAGAGAGAGAGAGAAAGAGAGAACAAAAGATCAAACGAAGCAAGAACAACAAAACAAGAACAAAAGAGAGAGACACAGAAGCAAAGCGAGAAAAAAAATCAATAACCTAAACAAACCTAGAGAAAAGACCAAACGATACTCCGAAACCCTATGAAACTTCGAAGCATGAAACTCTGACTTTGAAACCCTTACAGAATTACGAAAACCCGAAACCGCATGAAACCCCAGACTTCGAAACCCTGAAACTCTATGAAACCCCGCGTTTTCGAAACCCCAAATCACGAAAAATTCGAAACCCTATGAAACCCCGAGACTTCGAAACCCCAAAGCCGGAAAATTCGAAACCACAAAACATAAAACCCCGAGATTTCGAAACCCCAAATCTCGGAAAATTCGAAACCCTATGAAACCCCGAGACTTCGAAACCCCAAATCTCAGAAAATTCGAAACCACAAAACATAAAACCCCGAGATTTCGAAACCCCGAAACTCGAAACTCCATGAAACACCAAGACTTCGAAACCCCCGAAAATTCGAAACTCCATGAAACGCCGAGACAGAGAACGAAGCGTTAATCGAACGGATATTGTCTCTCATTTCTCGACCGACGCGGCATTTCTCGTCAGCGACAGAGAAACGAAGGAAATGCCGGAGAATTGTTTCGGATTCTGCTCCATGGAAGGGAAAAGAGACCGTGTTTGCAGAAGGGAAACTGTTTTCTTAGAGTTCTAAAGAGAGAGACTTTTTTTTGCTTTTTTGTTTTGAGATTTTTTTTAATTTTTTATATTTTTTTCGTAATAAGGATTAGGTTTTAGTTTATTTTTTGTTACTGTCGCTTCTACCGTTGTTGTCTTCTTTACTTTATTGTTGTTTTGTTTTATTATCATTGTTGTTATCATTGTTATTCATCATCATTGTTGTTCTTATTTATGTTTTCTTAATATGCTGTTATTGTTATCATTGACACTATTATTAGTAGTAGTATTAATTATTATTATTATTATTATTATTATTATTTATTATTATTATTATTGATGGTAGTATTTATTTTTAATTTATTCACTATTAATTTACATTTGCGTTTTCGTTTTCATTTTCAGTTGTATGTTCATGTTCATTTTTATTTATTTTTACATTTCGCTTCTTATTATTTCAATCACGATTATTATTATTAGCACAAACGCGTCTCTCTTTACGAAACGATCTGAAACTTATCACTCAGCCTCACTAAACCAACCCTGTACAAACGAGACATTAAACACGACTCACAGAACAGAGGAAATAAAGTAGAAAGAGAATGCCAATTCATAATTCATACAAAGTGACCAAATAAGAAAAAAAGAAGAAATATATACGAGTCCCCCCCTTAAGAGCTGAGCAACCACCGGATATAGAAAACGGGACGAAACGGAGTGAAAATCCGGAAGCATATTCTGGCTTCGCTGGGAGACCACGCTCGTTTCTGAAGACTTTTATCGTTAAGTCCATCTTCCTTAATCTCTCGGTGACTTTCCCCGCGTTTAGTTATGCACTGAGGAACTGCATTAATATCTGCGAAGAATGTGAGGGGTTTTGGACAATGGGGGGGGGACGAGGGGGGGAGGTGACGAGGGGGCGGGGCTTAGGTTTGCATTCGCGTGTTTTGGGTGAGTGGGTGGGTTCGGTGCTCATTTGTTTGTTTGTTTGTTCGGTCGTTCGTTAATTGATTAATTCATTCATCCGTCCGTACCTCAATACATTCATTCATCCATACATCCCTCCATATATTCATTCATTCATTCATTCATTCAATCATTCACGTAGTCACGCAGTCACACACACACACACACACACACACACACACACACACACACACACACACACACACACACACACACACACACACACACACACACACACGCATATATATCCTACATAAATAGAAAGTAAAAATGACCATAAACAAAAAGGAGAGAGCAAAAAATACTTAATGAAACAAACGACCCATAATTGAACCGAGAGCGACCCAGATAGAAATAGATAATTTGATGTAATTTCCAGCTAATAACTCAAGCCAATTCTATACACTTATTACAATCAGGGATGTCCTCGTCAGCTAAAAAGGGAAAAGAAATTTCGACATTAATCAACGCCAATTGAACCTTCCTGTCATGGCATTATTTCAGTGAACAGAGTAATTAAAACAACCCACAGTTAATGATCCCGAGAAGCTAGTTTAGAGTGCTATTATCAAGGTTTTTTTTTCATGGAGGGTGGGGTGAGGGGTGGGGAGTATTTTTTTCTCCTTTTTCTTTGAATTAGTGTTGTTTTTTTATGTTCATTTCGCGTCGTGTTTTTTTTTATCTTGTTTTTTTTTTTTTTCTAATTCTCTTATCTTTTTCTCCCTCCCCCCCTGTCTCTCTCTCTCTCTCTCTCTCTCTCTCTCTCTCTCTCTCTCTCTCTCTCTCTCTCTCTCTCTCTCTCTCTCTCTCTCTCTCTCTCTCTCTCTTTCTCTCTTATTTTGTGTTATTTTTACTCTAATTCCGTGTCTCATGGGTGGTTCAAACGTTCTTTTTTCTGCAAAGGGTTGGTCCGCGCCGGTCAATTTCTAAACCATTTTTGCGTTAATCATATGTCAAATTCACCCTAATTACTGTGTCCTTTTGTTAATTAGTGGAGGGATTTGTGGCTTATGGCATGTGTGTGTGTGTGCGTGTGTGTGTGTGTGTGTGTGTGTGTGTGTGTGTGTGTGTGTGTGTGTGTGTGTGTGTGTGTGTGTGTGCGCGCGCGCCAGCTGATGGTTGTACGGTGCTCTTTAAGGATTATGTTAAATGTACAGTGACAGTTTGTATGGTGTCCACTGAGTCTCTGTAATATATGGTGTAAGATGTATTGGCTGTTGTGTAGTGTCCCCTGTGGTTTTGTATGGTGATTATGTGTTGTTCCACCTAATGGTTGGGTATGGTGTCTACTAATTATGTGTTGTTCCACCTAATGGTTGTGTATGGTGTCTGCTGAATATGTTTGTGTCTACCTAATGGTTGTGTATGGTGTCTACTGATTATGTGTGGATCTGTCTAATGGTTCTGTATGGTGTCGACTAATTACATATGCTCCTAATAACTAATGATTTTGATTAGACTTAATGATGTCATTATGATGTCTACTCATGACTATGGTGCCCCAACCCCCCTCTAATACCACAAAAACCCTGTCACAAACCCCTGCCACCTTACGATCAACCTACCATACACAAACCCGAAGCAAATGACACACGAACGGCCTGTTTACCACCCATCGCGAACACCCCTCTCACCCATCCAGAGATAGTGACCTTCGCCAATCCGAAAATGGTGTTCCGAATGGTGGTCCTCCTCCTCCTCCTCCTCCTTTTCCTCGTCCTCGTCCTCGTCCTCCTCCTCCTCCTCCTCCTTTTCCTCGTCCTCGTCCTCCTCCTCCTCCTCCTCCCTCCTCCTCCTCCTCCCCCTCCTCCTCCTCCTCCTCCTCCTTTTCCTCCCCCTCCTCCTCCTCCTCCTCCTCCCCCTCCTCCTCCTCCTCCTCCTCCTCCTCCCCCTCCTCCTCCTCCTCCTCCTCCTCCTCCTCCTCCTCCTCCTCCTCCTCCTCCTCCTCCTCCTCCTCCTCCTCCTCCTCCTCCTCCTCCTCCTTTTCCTCCCCCTCCTCCTCCTCCTCCTCCCTCCGTGGCTGTTGGCAGATATACTATCCCAGTCGGCGCTCGTTAAGGTAATAATATAGTCCGTTGCAGAAGGATGGCTGGCGCGCTTCTCCTTCTCCGCTCTGTCATCCGGAATGGGGCGGACGGATGAGGGTATTCGCTTTAGTGAGTGGTTCTGTGGAGGGGGGGAGGGGGTTGGGGGATGTGTGGGGGAAGGGAGGGTTTGGGGGGGAAAGGGGAGGGGTTGGGGTAGGGAAGGGGAGGGGGTGAGGCGGGGAAGGGGAGGGTTGGGGATGGGGGGTGGGGGAAGGGAGTGGAGGTAGGGGGAAGGGAGGGGTTGGGGCGGGGGAAGGGAGGGGTTGGGGGTGGGGGGAAAGGTTGGGGATGAGGGGTGGGGAAAGGTTGGGGTATGGGGGGGAGGGTTGGGTTGGGGGTGGGGGGAAAGGTTGGGGATGGGGGGAGGGTTGGGTTGGGGGTGGGGGGAAAGGTTGGGGATGGGGGGAGGGGAAGGGTTGGGGTTGGGGTGAGTAGGGAGGGGAGGTAGGGGGAGGGGTGGGGTGGGGTAGGGGTTGGGTGAGAGGGGAGGGAGAGGGAAGGAGTGGGGAGTAGGGAGGGGGAGGGGGGGAGGATTCGAGTGTTTTCCTTTTTTTTGTTGTTTTCTCTTAAATATTTTTGTACTGTTTATTTCCATTCGTCCTTTCTTCTTTTTCTTCTCCATTTCCCTATTCTTCCTTTTTCACCACCTCCACCGCTCCGTCCCCGTCCCCTACCCTCCCTTCCCCCTTCCCTTTTCTTCCTCCTTTCCCTCCCCCTCTCCCCCTGCTTCCCCTCCTCTTTCCTTCCCTTCCTCTCCTCTCCTCTCGTCTTCCCCTCTCCCTTCATCTCCTCTATCCTTCCCTTCCTTTCCCCTCCTCTTTTCTTCCCCTCTCCCTCTCCCTCCTCTTAAATCCAGCTTAAATATTGGCCTAAACAGTCAGTCATTTGCAGAGACTTTACCCCCCCCACCCCCCTACCCCTCCCCACACCGAACGAGTCCTCCCCCCCTCTCCCCCCATCCACCCCCTCCCCTCCCCCCCTCGTTTCGACCATCCCGCAAACCCGCGCGCGCGAATCTCGCCGCTTGCGAGAAAAGACGAGACGTGACGTATCGCCTCCTTAGCAGCAGGTAATGGCGGATCTTGCAGTCCACTGAATAACGCGCGCGCGGGCGAGCATTAATTCGGACTGTCTGTAATTGGAGGATAAAGGAGTATATGATGTATGGACACGGGGTAACTGCCTTCATTAATCTGGTCGGTAAATTTAAGGGAAAAGGGAGGGGTCATGGGGGGAGAGGGAGGGGGAGGGGGTGATGGGGTGGGGGGAAAGGATAATGGGATGGGGGGGAAGGGGTGATGGGGTGGGGGGAGGGAAGGGTGATGGGGGGAGGGGGTAAGGGGGATGGGTCGGAGGGGGGAAGGGGTGATGGGGGGAGGGGGGGAGGGTGATGGGTGTGGGTGTGGGGGGGAAAGGGTGATGGGTGGGGGGAAGGGTGGGGGGAGAAGGGGTGATGAGGTGAGGGGAGGGGAGAGGAGGGGAAAGGGTGGGGAGAGAGGGAAGGGAAGTTAGGGAGAGAGAAAGAAGTAGACGAGAGGAGGAGGAAAGAGAGGAGGAGGGGGTATTGGGTAGGAATGAGGAGGGGAAGGAAAGGAGGGGCGTGGGTAGGGGAATGTACAGAAGAAAATGAGAATGGATGAAAGAGGGAAAGAAAGGATTGGGGGAAAAGGAGGAGGAGGAGGAGGAAGGAGAAAGGAAGGAAAGGAAGGTAGAGAGGGAAAAAAAGAGAGAGAGAAAGAATGAGGTAAAGAAGGAAGAAAAGAAAAGGGGACAGAGAAAGAAAGAAAGAAAGAGAGAGAGAGAAAGAAAAAGAAAAAGAGAAAGAGAAAGAGAAAGAGAAAGAGAAAGAGAAAAAAAGAGACACAAAGATAGGAGCAAAAAAAAAAAAAAAAAAAAAAAAAAAAAAACGAAAACAGAGAGAAAGTGAAAGAGACAAAACAAACGAAGCTCAGAGAAAGAGAGAGAGAGAGAGAGAGAGAGGCAAAGAGAAGAGGAGAAGGAAAACCAAAGCGGGGAGAGAGTGAGGTATTATCCGACTCAAATTTTAAGAAGTAATCTGCCGTCTCGCGAGCCATTTCTCACTTTCCTTGATTGCCGTTGGTGTGAGGGGAATGGGGGAGGGGAGATTAGGAGGGGAGGAGGAGGAGAGGGGAAAAGGATAAAGGAGAATAGGAGTAGGATGAAAAGAGAAAGAAAACGAGTGAAAATGGGGGAGGGGAGATTAGGAGGGGAGGAGGAGGGGAGGAGGAGAGGGGAAAAGGATAAAGGAGAATAGGGGTAGGACGAAGAGGCGATGAAAAGAGAAAGAAAACGAGAGAAAATGGGGAAGGGGAGATTAGGAGGGAAGGAGGAAGGGAGGAGGAGAGGGGAAAAGGATAAAGGAGAATAGGGGTAGGACGAAGAGGCGACGAAAAGAGAAAAAAACGAGAGAAAAAAAGGGAAATAGAAGAAAATGAAACAAGAAAGACAGAAAAGGATAAAGGAGAATAAAAGAAGGACGAAGAGGCGATGAAAAGAGAAAGAAAACGAGAGAAAATGGGGAAGGGGAGATTAGGAGGGGAGGAGGAGGGGAGGAGGAGAGGGGAAAAGGATAAAGGAGAATAGAAGTAGGATGAAAAGAGAAAGAAAACGAGAGAAAATGAAAGAAAAAAGGGAAATAAAAGAAAATAAAACATGAAAGACAGAAAAGGATAAAGGAGAATAGAAGAAGAACAAAGAGATGAAAAGAGAAAGAAAATCAAAGGAAAAAGAAAAAAAGAAAATAAAAGAAAATGAAGCATGAAAGACAGAAAAGGAAATAAAGAAAAAACAAATAAAAGCCGGAAGAAGGGAAAAGGATTAAGGAGAAAAGAAAACGAGAGAAAATGAAAAAAAAAAAAAAAAATTAAGACGAAACGTGAAAGGCGGAAGAAGAGGTGAAAAAAAGATAAATCAAATGTAAGGATCGAAAAAAGGAATAAAAGGGGACAAGAAAAGCGGACAAAAGTCGAAGACGAAAGAAAGTGGAAAACGAGAAAAGAAAGAACGTCTGAAAAGGGCGAAGAGGGGAAAAAGATAGAAAAATAAGTTAAAGAAAGACGAGCGCTAAAGAAGAGAAGAAAAGAATTTGAAGCAGGGAATAAAAGAAGCAAGGGATAAGAAATTGGAAGGAAAAAAGGAGAGGGAGAGAAGAGAGGGAGACGGAGACGGAGACAGAGAGAGAGAGAGAGAGAGAGAGAGGAGAGAGAGAGAGAGAGAGAGAGAGAGAGAGAGAGAGAGAGAGAGAGAGAGAGAGAGAGAGAGAGGGAGAGAGGGAGAGAGAGGGAGAGGGATAGAGAGGGGGGAGGGATAGAGAGGGGGGAGGGATAGAGAGAGAGGGGAGGGAGAGAGAGAGGGGAGGGAGATAGAGAAAGAAAGAAAGAAAGAAAGAAAAAGAGAAAGAGAAAGAAAGAAAGAAAGAAAGGCAGATAAATGGATAGAGAGAGAAACGGAGTTAACAATGAGTTATTTAAACACCCTCCTCCATCGCAATCAGTTCGCACAAACGAAGGAGCATATTTTCCCGAAGCGGCCGAGGGAACTTGAGGGCAACAGTGCCTTAACTCCTCTCTTTCTCCGTCGTCCTCTCTCGCTCTGTCTGTCTGTTTCTCTGTCTTTGTCTCTCTCTCTCTCTCTCTGTCTGTTTCTCTGTCTCTGTGTCTGTCTGTCAGTCTGTTTCTCTGTCTCTGTGTCTATCTGTCTGTTTGATTCTCTGTCTGTCAGTTTGTCTCTTTGATTCTCTGTCATTCTATCTGTCTGTCTGTTTTTCTGTTTCTCTGTCTCCGCCTTTTTCCGTCTGTCTGTTTCTCTGTCTGTTTCTCTGTCACTGTCTCTAGCTGTCTGTCTGTTTCTCTGTCACTGTCTCTAGCTGTCTGTCTGTCATTCTATCTGTCCCCTCTCTCTCTCTCGCTTTATGCATGATTGTACAATTGATTACATATATATTGACGAATATATAACTGATTGCATGTCGGTTACTTCGCCTATCTACCTACCCACCTATCAGCCTATCAAACTCTTAATCTATTTATCTGTCTTCACTTCAGTCTGGCAGCCTACCTATTAGTCTATCATTCCCTCTATCTATTTATTTATCTATTTAGCAATATATATCTCTGCATATCTATTTATCTTTAACTCTCTTTATATTGCTGTCTCATTCTCTCTTGCTTCCTCTCTCTCTGTCCATTTCTAGTGCATGAAAGCACGCCATAATAATCGTAAAAAAGGTTAAACATAAACACGTGTATATCTTCGCTCGGCTGGTTTTGAATGAATGTGAATGTCTGTGACTGTTTACTTATGCTTCTTTGGTGTACATGCCTTTCTGTTTGCACATTGTCCGTGTGTGTGGGTTGTTTGTGTACGTGTTTATGTTTGCTTGTGCGGCGACTTTGGGATTTTGTGAATTTGATGTGGGTTCATGCTTGTTATTTCATATGCTTGTGTTCATTTTCGTGTGTGTGTGAGAGAGAGAGAGAGAGAGAGAGAGAGAAACAAATACCAGAGACAGAGAGGCAGAACCAGAAAGAAAGAAAAACGAAAAGACAAAAAAGAGAGAGAGACAAAGAGACAAATAGAGCGAGAGCATCTCAATCGCGACCCGGAGACGAAGCAACGGGAAAGAAAATGCCTCGGCTTTAATTAACTCGTATCCCACCGCTGCCACCATTTTCAGACGTCTTGACCCGCCATTATACGGATCGAGGTAATTTATGCATAAACATAATTAGCTGAGAGCTTTT